CCACCCCCCCCCCAAATCACATCTGCAGAGGGGCTCAGGCCATGGGCATTGGACCTGGGCACCCACCTTGGGCTGCCTCTGCATGAGACCCTAAAAACCAGCAGCTTCCATGGGATTCCCCATGGGGATGGGCAGGATTTTTCCAGCGCTCCCCAGAAAACCCCAACATTTCCACCCCATTTCTTTCCAGCCTCTCCCCCCAGCTTCTCTTCCCCTTTTCATTCCCGCCCCCCCCTCCTTTCAGCATCCCTCAGCTCAAACGCTTCCCAGACCATTTGCAAACATCCCTTTAGGATGATGTTTCCCCAGGAATTGCAGGATTTGAGTTTCAAATCAAGCCCTCACAGTATTTTCCTTTGGAGAAGCAGAGAAGCAGTGAGGCAGCAGGGAATGGGTTTGACCCTGACGTGGCTGGAGGAGTCTGGGGGTGGGCAGAGCCAATCCCTCCTCCAGGGACAGGAGCTGCAGGCACGTCCCTGTACTTCATACTCAGTGTGTGTTTGCAGTCACGGCCCAGGGAAGTGTAACCCAGAGTCACGTCCTTCAGGGCTTCCCTTTGCTCAGCTCTTGGATTCAACCTAAGACCTCCACGGAGTGGAGGAGCTGCAAGGACAAAAGGATCGGTGGCCGGGTCACGGCTGCCACCTCCACACCTGCTCATCTGCAGACGTGCTCACGATGTGACAGGCAATAAAAGTTGATTATTAATAAGCTGCCTGGATCCGGCCCGTGGCAGCTGTGACGTTGCTGGGGAGAGATAAGAAAACCGTGGAGGAAAAAGCACCAGGGAGGGGCCAGACACGTCGCCGGAGGAGATTGCCAGGAGCCCTGGTCTCCCTGGCATCACCTGGGGATGAGCTGGGGTCCCATTTCACAGAGGAGCAGATTGAGGCCCAGGAAATGGGGGGTCCTGCCCTGGCAGCTCCACACAAGGAGTGTGACACACAAGAGACAGGATTTTGGGTCTCTCCAGCCAGCTCCAGGAGGCTGGGGAGCCTGGGGGCTAGAGCAGCCTGTGGGGGTCCATCCCCCCCAGGGGACTGAACACTTTGGGGGGACCCCTGGGGGAAGTCAGTCCTGCTCCCCATGTGCCCCCAGAGGTGGTTTGGGTACGGGGGAGAGCAACGGGCAGGAAATTCCCAATCTGTTCAGCTCCCATTCTTGCCTCCCCTTTTGTTTCACTCGCCATCTGTCCTGCAGCCCCACACACCCCACACTCCCACTGCACGTGCCATAAATACCAAGATGGGCTTTGTCTCTGCTCCCAAAAGCAGCGTGGACCCCACACCCCAACCCTGCAGCCCCCAGCCCTCCCCAGCAGCGCCTGCTGCCAGCCTTAAAGCTGCTGGGGGCTGGCACAGCCATGGGGGCTTTCTGTGCCCACCTGCTTGCTGTTGGGGGGTCTGGGTTTGGGGGGGACAGGCTCAGCATTGCTCTTCTCCCTCCTCCTGCCCCAGCAGGTCTTCGGGTCGGTGCTAAGAGGGGGTGCACAGCACAGCTGGGGGCTCAGCCCCAATCCAGCCTTTTAACTCCCAACAAAGCCAGGAACAAGTCAGCAAGGGCAGCTGCTCCACTCCAGCCCCGTCCTTCCCCTTTTCTGTTTTATCCGGTGCTATAATAGAAATAAACTCCCTGGTAAAAGGGCATTGTCAGAGGGAAAATGGGCCTCGCCCTTCGTCTGGCAGCTGGGAACGCCGGGGACGCGCAGGGCTTAGGGATATTGTTGCCTCCAGCCAGTTCCCAGTGACACATTTCCCAGCAGTTCCCCAAAGGAGCCAGTGTTGCACTCCCAGGCTGTTGCACTCCCAGGCTGTTGCACTCCCAGGCTGTTGTTTCATCTCCACAGCAGTGACACCGAGAGCTGCCCCATCCCCATGGGACTGGGTACTGTTGTGCCAGGCACAGGGGTACCCACAGGGACAAGTGGCCCTTGCAGAGGGGATGGATGGGGCAGGTGCCAGCCCTGGGAGGGGTACCCTAACACATCCCAACACTGCCTAGCAGGTCCTGGGGTGCAGACCCCACCCCAACATCAGCCTTAAACCCTTCTCCTTCTGCTTTGTTACCACTGGCTGGGATGTGAGGCTGGCAGGCACTGCTCCATGGCAGTAGTAGCCATGGGTAAATCTTGGACATGGCCCATGAGACACTGTTGGGTCAGTGCCACCAATGCAGAGATGTGGCAGAATCCCACAAGGAATCCC